ATATTGCCAAAGTTAACAATAATGGGAAACAAATAAAAATCTAAAACTTGAAGAAATGGGTCATTTTATAAATGATGGGCTTGATGATGGTGGTGGGAAAGGGGCAGATGAAGGTGCCAGTGCAATTCAAAGTCTTGGATTAATGGCTACAGCTTGGTCTTTTATCACTTCCTTATTTACTTCACAATACCAGAGAGGCCTCCTATTGTCAACAGTTAGGTCTGAAAAACTGCCAGGTGGAAAGGAGGGTTTGACTTTAAGAAAGTGTTGTTAATAAAAGTGCAAGTAGAAAAAAATATATATGTACAGAGGTGTTTCTTTTTTCCTTTAAACTCATACATATGAATACTGTAAGCAGAAATTGATTACTAATTGTGTTATTTTTTAAAAAAAATTCTAATAGAACATAATGTAACAATTTTGGTCTTCCAGGTTTTATTCATTTCAATTATGTATTTTCAGAAAGACATATTTTTGGTCTTAATTGTTTAAAGAGCTGCTTCACCTATTAATATCTATAGTTAATAGCTCAGCCAGTGTGGAATTTAATATATTATCTATTTTCCATAAATTATTATGAAAGATTTAAAAAGATTTCATAGTTTCTAACAAAGAATGTTATATACCTAAAATGTGCTAGTAGCATCTTGTCCATCTGTAAAGCAATAAACTTACCAGTAATCATAATTTTATTGGATAAAGGAAACCTATTTTAAGGGCATGTATCCCATCCACTGGAATTAGTACCTTTGAGAAAAGGCAGCTCTTCAGTGGAATTAACAGTGATATAAAATATTTTATACAGGCATTATAAAAGGCAGTACTTTTATAAAATGAGATATACTGGAAATCATTCCACATCACAAGAAAAGAGAATTGCCAACCAGTAACTCTCATAAACGCGGATGCAAACATTCTTGATAAGACTTTAGCAGTTATAATCAACAATACATAAAAAGGATAATACCAAATGAGATTTATCCTAGGAATGAAAGGTATCACCATATCAACAGATTTAAGAAGGAAAAAACACATGATTATCTCACAGAATCAGAAAAGGTGTTTGACAAAATTAGACCATTTATGGTTTAAAAAATCTCAGCAAAATATGAATAAAAGGAAAGATTCACATCTTGATAAAGGGTATAAAAAAAGGAAATCTATATAATTAACATCGTTCTTCATGGTGAAAGACTGAATGCTGTCCTCCTAAGATTGGAAAGTAGGCAAGAACATCCACTCTCACTACTACTATTCATAATCATACTGGAGGTCCTATCCAGTGCAGTCAGACAAGAAAGATGAACAAAGCACATACAGATTGGGAAAGAAGAAGTAAAACCATCTCTTCATGTTTGACTCTATGGTTTATGAAGAAACTGATAGAATCTACAAAAAAAAAGCTGCTAGAAGTAATAAGTGAGTTCAGCATGGTTTCAAGATATCAAGTCAGTATACAAAAATCAACTGTATGTGTCTATTCTTGAACAATTGCAAATGGAAAGTAAAAAACAATACTACTTAGAATAGCACTAAAATCATAAAACTCTTAGGTATAAATCTAACAAAATATGTACAAGATCTATACACTGAAAATGATAGAAAGAAATCAAAGAAGACTTAAATGGGGATATATATCATGTTCGTGCATTGGAAGATTCATTATTGTTAAGATGTCATTTTTTTTTTTTTTTTAAATCAAACTGACCTATAGATTCAATGATCCCATTCAGAGTCCTGGCAGGAAATTTTTTTTTTTTGTAGAAATTGACAAGCTGATTATAAAATTTATATGTAAAGTCCAGAGAACTACAATTTTGGAAAAGAAAAAAAAAAAGCTGGAGGATTCACAGTAACTGACTTCAAAACTTACTATAAAACTACAATAATCAAGACTGTTCACATAAGTGCAAAGACATTTCAACTGAGAAAAGATAATCTTTCTCAATAAATTATGTGGAACAATTGGAAGTTTGGGTATATTTAAATATAGGGTTGGCATACCCCTGACTAGTTGTAGGCAGTTGATACAGCCTATGGAATGAATACACATTTGCCTCTCTGCTTAAAAACAAAACAAAACAAAACAAAACTTGATTTATACCTTACACCATGTACAAGAATAAATTCAGATTAGAACATTATAACAAGCTAAACTAAAACTATAAACCTTCAACTATAAAGCTTCTGAAAGGAAACAGGAGAAAATCATTGTGACCTAGAATTAACCAGAAGAATACTCTATTAAAAAAGTTTTTTTTAAGCTGGACTTCATGAAAATTGAGAACTTTTCCTTTTCAAAAGACATTTTTAAGAAAATGAAGACAAGCTACAGACTAGGAGTTGTTTGCATATCACAAACCTGACAAATTAATTGTATCAAAAATATATAAAGAACTCTAAAAACACAATATTAATAAAGCAATCCAATAAAAAGTAGTAAAAGATTTGAACAGATATTTCACCAAAGAAGATAATATAGATGACAAAGAAGCACATGAAACAATGCTCAACATCTCTAGCCATTATGGAAATGTAAATAGAAACCTGGAGGAGATACCACAACACATATTTTATTTATGGCTAAAATAAAAAGAGGAGGGAAACAACAAAACCAAGTGCCGGTGAGAATACAGAACAACTGGAACTCTCATACATTGTTGGGGAGAATGAAAAACAGTATAGGTACACCTTGGAAGATAGTTTAGCAATTTCTCATAAAGTTGAACCTACACCATATGACTTAGCAAAGTCATATTCAGGATAAAGGAGAGCTGTGTTTGTACAAAAAATAGTACTTGACAATCTATAGCAGCTTTATTCATAGTTGAATGAATTATAATTTATTCTTACTGAATGCATAAGAAATGCTCTTCAATTGCCAAATGGATAAACAAACCACTCCATGCATACAATGAACTACTTACTCAGTGATAAAAAAGAAATTAATGATACATGCAACGTCACTGATGAAAGTGCACTGTGTTAAGTCAAAGCAAGGCTCAAGACTACAAATTTTATGATTTAATTTATATGACATTCTAGAAAAAGCAAAACTATTGGGACAATAAATAAATCGGTAGTTTCTGGGATGGGGTTGACTACAAAGGTACATAGGCAATTTTGGAGGGGGTGATAGAAGTGTTTTTGCATTGAATGTGGTAGTTATATGACTATTTTGGTTATAATTCAGAAACTACACTAAATTATTTTAATATAAATTATAAATTTGTTTATAAATATGTACATATTTATAAATTTTATTTATAAAATATAAATAGTTTATAATGTAATCTGCATATAACTTTATTATATGCACAAAAACCTAACCGACGATGTTAGGAAAGTATATATAGAGTATAAGATGCCCAAGTTTTGAAAGCTTTGAAGATGTCCATTGATGGACAGTAGGTAGAAGCTAATTTTAGTCAAGGAGAACAGGATTTGCTGACTTAGAAGTAGCAATCTTGTGTGCTCTGCAGACTTTCAAGTTATTTGGAAAACCAGAGACCTAAAGTTTCACAGTAGAGTAGGTGACCCAAAGGCAATGCTGGAGAAGCAGGCTGGAGCCCAGTTGTGGAAGGCCTTATATGTATTGTAAAGAACTTGGATATTTTTCTTTTAGTTGCTGTCTTAGTCAGTTTGGGCTACTGTGTTAAAGTCCCATAGACCGGTGACTTAGAAACAACAGAAATTTATTTCGCATAGTTCTGGAGGCTGAAAGTTCAAGATCAGGCTACCAGCATGGTTGGGTTCTGGTGAGAGCCTTGTTTTGGGTTGTAGACTGCTGACTTCTCATTGTATTCTCACAGAGGCAGTGAGCAGAGAGAGGAAGCAAGTTCTCTCGTGAAGCTTATAAGGGCACTAACCCCATTCAGTAGGGCTCTGTCCTCATGAGCTCACCTAATCCTAATTACTTCCCAAAGGCCCCACATCCCAGTGTCATCATATTGGGGAATAGGGTTTCAACATAAGAATTTGGCAGGGGGCACAAACATTCAGTCCATATCATTTGAGAAAATAAAGTGTGTTAATCAGAGGAGGGTCTTAGTTTTCATCTTAAGTGACTGCTGTGGCAGGCCTGTATATGGATGACACATGGGAAGGGTAAGATTAGAAGCACTGAGAGCAGTTGGTGACTTATTACATTGTCAGGCAGGAGGCAAAGAAGTCTCGGGCCAAGAGTAGAGTAGTGGACACAGGAAAAGGGGCAGAATCTGGGAAGTGGTGACAACTGGATAGCAAAGGTGATGGAAAGGGGCGAGTCTGGGGTGACATTTATGTTTCTATGCTCAGAGACATCCAAAAAGAACTAGATTTAAGGGATGTGTAGAGATAATTTTTTTTTACCAGTTTGGACTGTGTTGAGTTGCTGTCTATAACTTTTAAAAGTCTACTTGATTTCTTGCTCTAATACTCTTCACATATAGCCTTCAGCAGTATACCTAAATAATGAGGAAGCCTAAATGATAAGTAGAGGGGGACTGAAGTTGGTTGGAACTCAGAAAGCCATAGTGAGGAGTCCGAGTAAGGTGACATCTCATGGTTTTCCCATTTGCCCTGTCTGCCAGCTTTTCACTAAGCAACTGTAGCATCTGAGTTACTCTCAGTTGTGAGTCACTTGTCCACTGGAAAAGGGATTCAGGGAGGATAGAAGTACTGTATAGATGGTATGCTAGATATGGCTGAAAGTAGAAAATCTCTCCTCATTGGACAAGTGTCAGAAGTGGAGAGCCAAATGTGAAGAGACTTTACTTTGGATGACACAGGTCAGAGCTCCTGTAGAAATATATTTTGAGTAGAGCTGACTTCTCTCAGCTTGTGTTTCAGGGAGTGTCTTATCTCACCCTTACATGCTACGGCTTTTTGTGTATTCTGGATTGGCTCCTTTACTTGTTTGTCTAGGTCATGTCTGGTCCTGCTGACCTGTCTTTGTTTTGTTATTTTCTGCTAGACGCCTGGAATGTTTTTAAACCCCACCTTCGTCCCTTGTGTTTTAGCCTAAAAGAAAGTTTGGCGTGGTGGTGGTTGGCGTTGGCAGAGCTGGCTCCGTGCGGATGAGGGACTTGCGGAATCCACATGCTTCCTCAGCATTCCTGAACCTGACTGGCTTCGTGTCCAGGTGGCTTGCATTTGCTTTATGCCTTGTTATTTATGGGAAGCCCATTGGGATGGAGTAAGCCTTGGGACAGAGAAATTCTCCAGACCCAGGAGAGAGAGAGCCAGCTCCAGGTTCATTCCAGAGAACTGTGCTCAGAGTCATCCCCACAAGATCTCAGATTTGAATGGGTGTGGGAACTGAAGAGTGTTGGGCCTACAGCTTGATGTGCAGTGAGTCAGCCTAGAAGGGACTACAAAGGCAAAAACAGGTAAGATGAGCATTGGACCTTACAGTTACCGAAAGCACAATGAACACATGATAGGCTGGCATGAATGAAGGCTTTAGGTGTGCAACAGTTAACCATTACATCAGATATCATAAGCATCATCCATGAGATGACCCTGGGCTTTACAAGCCCTACCAATTATTTGACATATATATTATTATCAAGCCCACTTTACAGATAAAACAAAAAACAAAAACAAAACAAAAAAAAACAGCCACAGAGAGGTTAAGTAATTTGCTGAGGTCACATAGCTGATTTGAATGTAGGTCTATTTGATTCCAAAGCCCATCTTTTAAACACCAGGCATTATTTTCCCTTTGATAATTTTGAGCCCCACTTTCAGGCTTCATTTCTCTCCTATACCCAATTAGAATTTATCACAATCATTCTTTTTCCTGCTCCGTGCTCAGGTCCTTCCTTTACCTCTCACCACTTCCTCAAACACACAGACACTACTCATGGCATGTAAATAACTAATGGCATGTAATATGATTTATCAATATTAATTGTGAATTAGATGTAGGCATTGTGTTGGCTGAGGAAATGTGGCAGTGAGGAAGTTAGGCACATCTCTACTTTCTAGTGCTTTAGAGAAATCAAATACTTAAACAGAGCCTAAGTAACTATTGTGATGGTCCATGCAGACGATTTTTTATATTTTAATTTATGGGCCATACTTTCTTCCAGTTTGCTGTCTTAAAATTTGGCCCTTTCTTGAAGGATTTAAAGTAGACTTTGGGCCACTAAGGAGACCCATAAGTGCTGGGACCTGCCTTTGGTCAGTCTTCCCCTCCCAGTAAGATTCTAAGAGAATCTTATCTCCCACACAAATGGGAGATAAAACTTAGTAGCCACACTATAACTTCCATTACCCCCCTATTTGAAGCTCTGATCAAGCATGATGAAGCAAAGCCTCACCTTTTCCCTTTAGCCCTAGTCCTTTGCCAGCTGGCTGCCATGACCAATGCAGTGGGAATTTCTAAAGTTCCCAAATTATGTGGAAAGATCACCAGCTCAAATCCCACTGCTTTACTGCACCCTTGTCATTGTCACACAGTTCCCCTTCTTACATACCCTGTTCCTTATGACCTTCTTGCCAAGTCCTACTTTCTTTTCTGAAACCATAAACTAGGTGTTCCTTGCCTTCCTTGAATCTCCCACATGTATGTACCCCAGGACGTTTCTCCTGTTAGTTTTGTATTATTGTTGTCATATATGTGTATGTGTGTCTTCCCCCCTCTACCAAACTGTGAGCTCATTGTAAGCTGAGGACTTTTGTTCATTCTTTATGATCTTCCTTTTGGTACCTAGCACACAGTAGGCAAACAGTCAGTATTGGTCTAATTCAGCAGTGTAGATTTGGTGGCCCCCATAGGAAGAAACTTACCATAATGTCCTTTGGGAGCCAAACTTCCCCAAATGCCCTCTGCTTGCTGCAACTTGAGGGGAGCTCTAAGCTGACTGAGAGCCTTTTTCTGGCTGCCTCATTTCCTCTGTGACATCCATCACAGGAGGACCACTCCACTTCTCCAGCCTCTGCACTAGAGTAGTGCAAATGGCCAGGGCTCTCAGTCCTTTTCAATCAGGAGTCCCTTCTTGCTCTACAGCAGGGACCCCAAACCCCAGCTGCGGCCTATTAGGAACCAGACACACAGCAGGAGGTGAGTGGCAGGAGAACCAGCGAAGTTTCATCTTTATTTGCAGCTGCTCCCGAGTGCTAGCATTACTACCTCAGCTCCATCTCATATCATCAGGCATTAATTAGCTTCTCATAGGAGCACCTGTCCCTGGTGCTGAAAAGGTTAGAGACTACTGCTCTATAAGAATCCCAAGGCTTGGAGTTCCTGTCTTGCCTCTCCTACTGATTAGCCATGGCAGCTTCTGCCTCTCTGGGCTTTGTCAACTCAACTGTAAAGAAAGCAGTGACATTTGCCTTCCATTGACCATCATGAGGCCAGGATATATGTGAGGGAGCTTGAAGTCGCACAACAGTTTGCACCTCAAAGGTATATTGGATTTGAGTTAGGTTTGGTAGCCATAGTGTTTGGCCTGGTGTGTGGAGCTGGCAGTGACCGTAGAAATAATTTCTCATGAGATAAAAGGAGATTAGTTTTTTGTTTGTTTGTTTTTTTAATTTCAGATATGAAGTAATTCCAAGATTCCCACATCATATAGACCATTAGTGGTAGTGTTGGCACTCAATGCCAGGTCCCCTGACTTTAACCCTGAGGCGATTTTTCCCATCCATGTAGAAAATGCCCTGAATGTAGGAGGATGGAAATTTCTTCATTTCCCAAAGCTGATCATCAGGACATGGGGTGAGAGGAGAAAAATGATGCTCATTTATTCTACGCCATTGTTCTGCCACTTTTAAGTTCTATTTCTTTGTTGTTCTCAAATAGACGAGAGCTCAAGTATATTGATGAAGTACAGCAGATTTCTTTGGAAGATGCTCTTTCCAGCCAAGAGGTTGAAGTTGCTTATATTTGCAGTGAAAGCACGAGCCATGAGGACTACATCAGGTGGGTTTTCAATGTAAGCAGACCTTACCTTGCACAGTAGTGCAGGACTGTAAAAATGACTGGGCAAGCCGAAGTCTCGCAAAGGGGTCCTAATAATTAGTGGGAAAAATTCTAATGGATCTGTGACCTTTAAAATTGTCAAAATATTAAAAACTCTCACTATTGGTTATAAATGTATAAGGAAATGAAAAATATAATAAAGCTAATATTTAGTACACTGCAATTCGAAACATTAAGAATTAAAGTGTTTTATTTATTTGTAAAATATTTATCAAGAATAATTTGAACAGTCTTTGCCTTCTTCTCATCATACAACTTAGGATATAGAGCCAGCATCTTTTCTGTGCCTTAGCAAATTATCATCGTCCTTTCTAAGTTTGGATCAGCTTCTAATATTTTATTCTTTGAACATTCAATATTGTGAAATATCTCTGAGAGTTCCTTTAATAAGTGTTTTTTTCTATAATGTAAGTAAGGAGGTTGCGATGGCATCAGAGAGGGAAGATGACGTTTTTAAAGCAAAGTAAGTGAGGTGTCCCCCTCCTCCATCTTTGAATGAAAAGCCTAGAGCCCTTCAAGCATTTACTGGGTTGAGCCTGGAAAAAGGAGCCCCATGTATGACCTGGCAGCTAATAAGACTGTGCCAGCTGCCTCCCTGAATATAAGCTTACCTTCTAGGTTCTTACATATAGCTGCTAATATCATCATACTGATCCTCAGTCATAAACTACTCCCTCTTTATCATGCCGACTGCTGTGTGGACAGAAACACCTTGCTTTGGTTTCCCATAATCTTCTTAGGTACCAGAGTGTGTTTTCTTTAAAAAGTGATAATGTAATTCCCATGCTTATACAGTTGACCCTTGAACAACACAGGTTTGAACTGTACCAGTCCACTTATACATGGATTTCTTAAATAAATAAATTGGAAAATTTGGGGGAGGATTTGAGACAATTTGAAAAAAACTTACAGATAAACTGTGTAGCCTAGACATACCAGAAAATTAAGGAAAAGTTAGGTATGTCATAAATGCTTATAATATATGTAGATAGTAGTCTATTTTATCATTTACTACTATAAAATATATACAAATCTATTATAAAAGTCAAAAGTTATCAAAACATATACACAAATCTATTATAGGTGGTACATGGTACCATTTGCAATCGAGAGAAATGTAAACAAATGTAAAGATGCAGTATTAAATCATAACTGCATAGAATTAACTGTAGTATATACAGTATTACTATAATAATTTTGTAGCCACTTCGTGTTACTTTTGAAGTGAGTGCAAGTATTGTAAGTATCCACTTAAAACACTGTGTGATGCCAATCATCTCTATGTGAGCTGTTTGTCTCTCTAGTAAAGTCCATATCACAGTAAAAGGTGATCCCTCTTGAAGTAAACTGGAAATGGGCAGCCAAAACCCACATGTGGCAGCTGAGAATTGAGAGAATTCTCTCAGCTGTGCAGGTCCCATCCTTGAGAAGTGAGAGACTCCAACCCCAGAACAGGCTCCCCAGCTCAGGAAAAGGAGCCCCTATGAAGTCTAGCTGTGAAAAACAGTGGGGATTATAACCATCCGGGTGAGGTGGAAGGCTGCTAGAAACCTAGGTGTCCTTTTAGAGGGCCAGCACATAGACTCATTTCCTCGAAGGAACTCACCCTGAGCTCAAGTAGGGGAATGTCACCAGAGACATGTGGGGAGAGGATGAGTGACCTCAGGGCAAGGATAAGAGAGATGGTCACCATTGTCCCTGTGTGGAACCCTGCTCCTGTGGGGACTGCATAAGTACCAACTTTCTTGTGATGATCCCTTCCCTAAAATAGTTAAATCTAAATCTGCATTGGCCTGGTGAACTCTGCTCACTCTACCCTGGTGACTCCCTCGCCCACTCAACTCAAACACCTGCCAGAGGCTTTTTCAGCAGCTAGTAGCTGGCTTCAGTGCTCAAGCCACATGAAGCCCTTTCAGTCGTTATAAACCGGCCACGGTTTGCACACCACTGGAGGCATTTTTTGGTCACCTACCAGCTCTTGCCAGTACTGTAGTCTTTCTCAGGCAACTATCAAAGATTGGTAAGCACCAGACAGACAATGGCTGGCCTTGTGCTCTGAGCCTTATACTGAGTAGCTCCAGACTCAGCAGAGGCGCCCAACGTGAATATGCATCAACCTGGTGAACACCACTCTCTCTACCCTGGTGACTCCCTGGAACCCCACCCTACTCAACTCGCACACCTCTGGAGGCACTGTTCGTGATTGGCAGCCAGCTCATCCCAGCATACTGAAGGAGGCTCTTTCAATAGGTAGTTGCCAGCCTTGGCTCAAGCACCATAGGAGGCTCTTCCAGCAGTGACTAGCCGGCCTTGGCTCATGCTCCACAAGGAGACTCTTTCAGCAGCAAACAACTGGCCTTAATTTGCATGTCACAGGAAGCATTTTCACAGCCAGCAGCCAGCCTTTAGCCTGTACTACAGTATATCTTGGAGAATTCTTGGGGTTACCTGGCCTAGGCAGACCATGGCTGGCCTCAGTGTGCTTTGAGCCTTTTGCTGAGTAGCTCCAGGCTTAGCACTGGCACCAAATCTGAATCTTCATTAACTTGGTGAACAGTACTTGTCCCAACCTGGTGACTCCCTGAGATCCTGCTTCACCCAGCTCACATATAGCATGAGGCTCTTTTACTGGCTGAGGCTTACAGCTAGCTGGCAGGTGGCAGCAGGCTTTGGGATGCCCTGGGCCTTTTGTGGAGCTACCCCAGCCTGGTACTGGTGGCAGCTGGCCTTGGTTCATAGCATGACCTCTCCCATGATCCTCCAGGTCAAGGCAGAGAACAGTCAACCTTAGATAGCTTTACAGCTCCTACCAGGTAAGCATGGACCATTCATAGGCAGCGGCTGACCTTGACCTACATGAGAGCCACTCCTAAAGGCCCCCAAAGCAACAGACCTGGAAGACAGCTTCAGATTACAACAGAGTCCACCTGATTAGCCCCACTGTGGCCTAGCCAAAGGGGATTCTCAACAGGTACCAGAACCTGCTGAGGCTAATCCCCCTCTGGAGGCTAAGACCCCACACAGCAGCTCATGAGCTGTGGATGTGGCCAAACCACACAGCCAGTGAGGCTGAGGGTGAGCCCTACCTACCGACATACCAATAGCAAAGGAAATCAACAAAATGAAAAGCCAGCCAACTGAATGGAAGAAGATATTTGCCTATGATACATCTGATAAGGAGGTAATACTCAAAATTTATAAAGAACTCATACAACTCCACACCAAAAAAAAAAAAAAAGAAAGAAAAAGAAAAGAAAAACTTCAGTTAAAAAATTGTCAAAGGACTTGAACAGATATTTCTCCAAAGAGGATATACAGATGGCCAGTATACATGAAATGATGTTCAATGTCATGAATATTCAAAGAAATGCAAATTGGAACCACAATTAAATATCACCTCATACCTGTCAGGATGACCATCAACAATAAATCAAACAAATGTTGGCAAGGATGTGGAGATAAAGGAATCCTCATGCCCTGTTACTGCGTTTGCAAATTGGTGCAGCTAGCTGCTATAGGAAACAGTTTGGAGGTTTCTCAAAAAATTAAAAATAGAACTACCTTATGATCTATCAATTCCACTCCTAGGTATTTATCCAAAGAAATCCAGAACACTAATTTTAAAAGATATATGCACCTTTAAGTTCAGTACAGCACTAGTTACAATTGCCAAGATATGGAAGCACCCTAAGTACCCACTGACAATCGGATAAAGAAGTGGTATATATATATACAATGGTGTATTACTCATCCATTAAAAAAAAAAAAAAAAGAATGAAATCTTACTATTTGCAACAACATAGATGGACCTAGAGGATATAATGCCAAGTGAATTAAGACTGAGAAAGACAAATACCAAATGATGTCACTTCTGTGAAATCTAAAGAAGAAAATAAATGAACACACAAAACAGAAACAAAGGCATACATACAGAGAACACGCTGATGGTTGACAGGTGGGAGGGGATTAGGATATGGGTAAAAAGAGTGAAGGGATTAGGGAGTAGAGATTGGCAGTTACAACATAGCCATGAAATGTATAGCATAGGGAATATAGTCAATAATATAATAACTATATAGTGCCAGGTGAGTTCTAGACTAATTTGGGAGATAACTTCCTAAATTATATCAATGTCGAACTACTATGATGTACACTTGAAAGTCATATAAAATAATATTGAATGTCAACTATAATTTAAAAAATAAAGTAAATAAAAGTTTTAAAATGATCCATCTTTGTTCTCATGTATTTTTCATCATGTATAGTGTGATAATGTAAACCTTGACTAACACCTTTGGACTCTTACAAAGTGCCATTAGTGATGCCGGAAGTGCTCCCAAGAGTCTGAGGAAAGATAGGACATAACAAGAAAAATTTGAATTGCTTGATATATACTTTAGATTGAGAGCTGTCTGCAGTAGCCTGCCATTTTTTAATTAATCCAACATAAAGACCATTGTGGAAGAAAAATTTGTGAAGATGCTGCTGCACCTATGCCAGCAGGTGTGAAAATCTTACACTTTATGTGAAATACCTTTTTATCATTTATTGAGTGTGCAGGATTATTATAGGAAAGGCAAACCCATTGACTCAAAATGCTTTGAGAAACAGCAAAGTTATTATATGGCAACTTAAAGGAAAAGGAATGTGAAGGATCTAAAGCTGGAGAATTTAATGCCAGAAAAGGAAGATTTGATAAATTTAGAAAGAGTTTGGCTTAATATATGTCAGGATAACAAGAGAAGCAGCTTCTGACAACCAAGAGGTAGCAGACGTTCTGAGATGCCATCAAGAAAATTACAATCACAGAGGAGAAAAATACCTACCTGAAAAGGTTTTTAAGGCAGATGAAAGTTTTGGGGGAAAAAAGTGCCACAAAGGACATTATTAGTAAAAGAGAGAGAAGTGAGCACTAGGATTTAAGGCAGAAAGGGATAGGCTAACTCTACTGATTTGTCCAATTGCAGCCCGGTTTATGATCAGGACTTACTCATCTATAAAGCTGCTAAGCCCTAAGCCTAGAAGGGAAAAGATAAATATCAGCTACCAGTCTTTTGATCGTACAACAAGATGGTTTGAACAGCAAGAACCCTTTTTCTGGATTGGTTCCATTGATGTCCCTGAGTCAAGTACACTTGCCATTAATGAACTACATTTTAAAATTCTTTTGATTTTCAGCAATGCCTCTGGCCATGAGTTAAACTCCATGAGTTCAACACCAAAGGCATCATTGTAGTCTACTTGCCCCCAAACACAGTGTCTCTACTTAAGCCTCTAGATCAGGAGTCATAAGGGAAACACCTTACAGTATTGTACTGTATTTATTGAATCTTTAAGTTTACATCACCTATATACAAGATAAATTATCTGTCAGTACCTATATCAATATTATCTTATATGATAGAAAATACTGTTGATGTTATATGTACTACTAACACGAGACATCAAAAATGAAAATATAATGTGAAAAATCCATATTTATTTACAGGTATAATGATTCATGCATTGATAACAAAGAAGCAATATGATTGGTTCACTTGTTATTGATAAGGCTTCCAGTCAATAATAGGCTATTAGTAGTTAAGTTTTGGGAGAGTCAAAGGTTATATGCCGATTTTCAACTGTGTGGGAGGTCGGTGCCTCTAACCTCCACATTGTTCAGAGGTCAACTATAAATGTTTATATCCTGGAATATCTAGCAGAGCTAGCTGTCATGGGTTTTATAGTCTTTATTTATAGTTATCATGTGGTAACAGGCAACTTACCTGTTAATGTGTCTTTATTGCTCCTCCAGAATAACTGGTAAATAGTACCTAGTTGAATATGTGTGAATATGAGTGGATGAATAAGTGAATGTTCAAGTTAATGTATAACTAGAAAGTCATTCTCTTTACAGTATAGTAGAAAATAATATGTGGTATAATTCTTCTTCATCCTCTGGCCTTGACTCTCACCTGCATGACACAGTTATACACAGAGACTTTTGTTCATTTATAGTGTTCTTTACACTGTCTTGCAGGACATTTTAGTGAAGTTTATTTGAAGTGTATTTTCTCTCTACTTATCTCTTTTTCCCATAGGCAGTTCCTTAATGCAGGCAAGCATGTCCTTGTGGAATACCCCATGACTCTGTCTCGAGCAGCAGCTCAGGACTTGTGGGAGCTGGCGGAACAGAAAGGTAATGTATGTTCTGTCTGTCGAGAACACAGACTCTCTTTTAAGAGTTGCTGCATCTAAGATTTCTGTGGTATCATCTTTATGCCTTTAAAGTTTAATTCTGTGTCAGATATATTAGTGGTTCTAAGGGGTTCCAATCCTTTTCCCTTTCAATACTGTAGGCACATAATAGGGGTTGTGTGGAGAACCAACAGGATAGAGGGCTGGGTGGTAATTTGCAAACTTTTGTTTGAGACTTACCAGCTCCTTTTACTCTAATTAAAATATGAATTAGTTTCTACCTATGCTAGTACCATATTATTTTAGTTATATTCATGTGATATTTGCTAATGGAAAAAATGCCCAGATCAGTGTAATTAGTTGTTTTATAGGCATATTTATAGTTTTTGTTGTTTCTTAAGAGGAATACTATTTATTAAATATTTTTTATATTCCAGAAACTTGGGGACTCTGATAAGCACTGCATATGTTATTTTGCTTAATTGTCCTAGAAATCCTTAGAGATAGGTATTTTCTCTAGCTTATGTATGTCTCACAGATTTCTTGCCAATTCATGGCTCAGAGTAGATAAATAATTTATGCCAGGTCACAAAACTAGTAACAAAACTGCTAAATGGGAGATGGAGATTTAAATTAAGTCCTTAAGGACTCTGAAGTCCACATTTGTTCCTCTGAATCATCTTACCCTCCAAAGATTTTTATAGTTACTGGACAAGTCTCTTTATGGAGACAACTAGAATTAACTGGAATGTTTAGGGATTAAAGGAGCTAGTTATGAAATTAAAATCACACTCTTTTTTTTTTCAACATTTTCTGTTGAAAATATTTAATATATGAACAAAATATGGTGAACAATTATAATGAAAGTCACTAAAGAAAGAACCTTGTGGTTATTACCAATGTAGACTGATCACACTTTATAAAATTCTTGATTGTCTTTCTCTAGCACTGGGCTGTGCCTTCTGGAGGACGGAGCCCATCTTTCCCCTCTGTAGCTCTAGCAGGTAAACTTAAAAGTCATCCTAGGCATTCAGTAGATGTTTGTTGAATGAAAAGATGGATGAATTACTATTGAAGTGAGTGAGAGGATTGAGGAGCTTTGGGACTGTTACCTTTTTACAGTATTTCTCATGGCACATATGTCCATGAACGAAGTACAAGATTCTACAATATGTCCCACAGATTTCCTGCTAATTGCAAAGAAAAAAAAATGTTTCTTTGCAATGAAGAGCTCTGCTGTTACCATCCTAACCAAATGATTTATAATATAAAGCATTCTGACATTATAAGCCATCTGGTGTGATGTATATGGCATCGATCATATAATTGAGATTTAAACCAAACTTTCACTTCATAGGAAACATAGGATGAAGGAACAAATTAAATTATGCCAATAAAAAAAAATCAAGCAATCTAAAATGTAGAATTCTCTACAAGATAGTAGGCTAAGTTTCTTCGGAAAGATAATGTCCTGCGCATAGTGACTTCCTTCCAAAAAATAGAATGTGGAAAGGAGGGAAGGAGAATAACTTTACACTGAAGAAACTAGACAAACACTACCTAAGCCAGGTGATCAACATCAACATCAACAGCAATGCCATGTCAATAAAATGCACCTTTGATGTGATGTGATGAGAATGGCCCATTATTTCTAGTTTTCCTTTCTAATATATGTAACTCCAGTCTGAGAAAAAACATCAGAAAAATCCGAGTTGAGGGTCATTCTACAAAATACACGACCAGTACTCTTTAAAATTGTCAAGGTCATGAAAGAACAAGGAAAGTTTTATAAACTTTCCAACTCAGCAGACTAAGGAAACATAATGACTAAGTGTAATGTAGTATCCTGAAACAGAAAAAGCACACTAGGTAAAAACTAAGGACATTTGAAAAAAAAAAATGGACCTTAGTTAACTTTTTTAAATGAGAGAAAAAGAGAAACAAAATATGAAGGATCAGTGTTATATTGGAGCATCAATATTAGATTCTTAAGCAAACATAATCTGGGTGGATATGTACGGATCGCAAATGGCTTTTAAAAAGAAAAAATGTCCTTAAAAATGAAAATGACCTTTATTCTTTAGTCAAGTATTCATAACTCCTACTAGAACAATCATTAAACAGGTTTTACATAATAGTTAACTTTATGTATGAGCCATCTTGCATGATGATAGGGATAACAAAAAGATGACTCTTGTCCTCCAGGAGCCCACATTGCCAAATGTTCGCAACTAGCAGTATTAACTTGCGTGCTGAAAGTAAATTTTAAAGGTAACTATAGCATTTACATTGTAGCCTAGGAACTAATAATCTTAATGGGGCATACCTAAATATATCATTTTGGATGGCAAAATTATGGATACTTTGGGAGCAGTGTCAGCAAGGTGGTAGAATAAGAAGTCCTAGGACCTCATTTGCCCATGGAGACATTGAGTGAACAATACATAGACCAAAATGCCTTAGTGAGAACTTCAGAAACTAGTTAAGTGATTGCAGCACCCCAGGCAAGTACAAAGCCAATGAGAGATGCATTGAAGTGGATAAGAAAGTTCATTGCATTTGTTTTTCATATTGCTTTGAAACACCGTCACAGGATGGTCTGATCAATAGAAAATTCCTAACTCTTCACTTTTGCCTTGGGGGATTAGGGAAGAAGAGAATGGAATGTATGTGTAATGTTCTGGATTTTCAGGAGGCTGCTTGAGGGACTGGTTTCTGTCTTTAATGACTTGGAGTGCTAAAGGAAATGGTCGTATTCTTTAGATGCCAGTTTGGGGACTGTTAAGAACAAGGTGAATACTGTGGCTTGAGACAGCACTAGAGAAGCTGCAGTACTGCAAATAGACACCAGGGGGAGCAAGGGATTACAGGTTCTTGAGAACAGGGGCAAGCCTCTTTAGTTTAGAAATTACACATGTAAACCCAGGGATGACATATTCTCAGAAAAAGTTTCATAGTCCCCCCAGAATTTCTTGCCTGGCTAAGTGGTGAAGGTCTCCTTTACAAAGCTACTCTGTAAAGACTAGGAGAGGTGGCTGTTTTTTCCAATATTCAAATCTCAACAAATACAAAAGAAGCTACGGAGGAAAAAAAGGGACAAAATAGCTGCAAGAATATACAGACAATAGTTCACAAAATGCATTAATAAGTCCTTTTCTATCAGAAATTCAAGTGTAATGGATTAAACTCCCCAATCAAAAGACATAGATTGTCCCAATGGATAAAAAGAAGGTCCAACTATATACTATCTACAAGAGACTTTAGATATAACGACACACATGGACTAAAAGTGAAAGGATGGGAAAAGATATTTCTTGAAAATGTTAGAAGAGAAAAAAGATGGCCATACTTTTATCAAAAAAAATAGGCTTTAAGTCAAAAAGTGTCATAAAAGATAAAGAACATTATATAATGATAAAAGTTAGGGTCATTCACCTAACATCCGTTCTCAGATAAGGGTACCTAATATCAGAGCTGCCAAATATGTGAAGCAAATATTCACAGAGATGGGGCACAAAAGTAGGAGGAGACTTTAATACTCCACTTTCAGTAATAGATAAGAAAAGTAGATGGAAGGTCAATAAGGGAAACAGAGGACTTGAACAACATAAACCATTTGAACCTTACAAATATATACAGATCACACCATGTCATAACAGAAGAGTACACATTCTTCTCAAGTGCACATGGATCATTTTCCAGGATAGATCACATATAGGCTATAAGAAGTCTTAACAAATTTAAGATCGAAATCATCCCAAGTATCTTTTCTAACACAATGAAATGAAACTAGAAATCAACAGCAGAAGAAAAACTAGAAAAATCCACAAAATGTGAAAATTAAACAACACACTCTTAAATAGCCAATGGGTGAAGGAAAAAATTACAAAAATTAGAAAATTAGAAATTAGAAAATATCTTGAAAAAATGAAAGTACAAATACCAAAACTTAGGGATATAGTAAAAGCACTACTAGGACAGAAGTTTATAGTGGTAAATACATTAAAGAGAAATAAAAGTCTCAAGTCAGTATCCTAACTTTATACCTCAAAGAACTCGAAGAAGACCAAACTAAATAAAAAGTGATCAGAAAAAAAAAATAACGATTAGAATAGAAATAAATGAAATAGAGTATAGAAAAACAATAGTCAAAAATCAAAGAGACTAATGGTTTTTAAGAAGATCAGCAAAATTGACAAATCATTAGATTAGGAAGAAAGGAGAAGACTCAAATAAATAAAATGAAATTAAATAATAAAGAAATGAAAGAAGAGACATTACAACAGATACCATAGAAATAAATGGATTATAAGAGACTACTGTGAACAATCATACTCCAGCAATTATATAACCTAGAAGAAATGGATAAATTCCTGCATATAAAAGTCAATGAATGTAATACACAACAACAGAATAAAGGACAAAACCCACACAACCATCTCAACTGATACAGAAAAAGCATTTGGCAAAATTCAACACCCTTTTATGACAAAAAACACTCAATAAAACTAGGAATAAAAGGAAACTCTCATAATATAGGCCATCATACTCAATGATGAAACACTGAAATCATTAACATCAGGAAACAAAGTAAGGATGCCCACTTTCACCACTTCTATTAACATGGTACTGCAAGTCGTATTCAGAGCTATCAGAGAAGAAGAAGAAATACAAGATATCCAAATCAGAAATAAAGAAGTGAAATTGTCTTTGTGTTCAGATTATATTCTTGTATATAGATAGCCCTAAGACTCTACCAAAAAACTCAGAATACACAAATTCAGTAAAGTTGCAGGATATAAAACCAACATATAGAAATCAGCTGTGTTTCTATATACTGACAACAAATAATCTGAAGGAGAAATTATGAAAGCAATTCTATTGACAGTAGCATCAAAAAGGAGAAAATACTTGAGAACTGGAAACACTTCCTGTGTTCATGGGTTGAATGACTTAATAGCATTAAAATGTCCATACTATCCAAAGCCATCTATAGATTCA